CACTGTGAAGAAGAAAAACTGGTTCATTCACACCGACGACTAAGTTCCAACAATTTGCTCTATCAAGCTTTCACATGTCACTTAGATTTTACTCAACACTCACTTTAGTTTATTGATGACATCCAATGAATTTTTTGGGGAGATAATAGAATTTGAGATAATATTGCTTTTGATATTTACTCACTTTGTTGTGAATAAAAGTTTTGTTTGGAACTTTGTAATGTATGTGCTTACAAGAGAAGTTATTTATTTATATAGCCCAATATCACAAAAGAAATCAAACTTTGCTCCAGAGGGCTTTATAGTCTGTTCTGAGCAAATCTTTACTCGTTCTGTTTTGCAATTCTATATAATTCTATATATTATAATTAATCTTGAATCAGTTGATGAAGGCTGCTAGTTTGCAGTTATTATCTTTTTACAAACAGAAGCACAAAGAATCCGCATGGACGACTTGTGGAGATTTCCATTTGTATTATATTCATTTATTAATGATATTCAATGTCAAACAGGGGATTCTTCTCTACCACAACAGACTTGAATCTTCCATTGTATCTGTTTCAAGGGAAAACTTGAGTTTAATATCAACTTTAGTGTATTAAAGTCCCAAGATTTGAAAGACAATGTTTTCACAAACTCCGTATTGTTTTTCCTGTAAAAAACTGCTTTGAGAATGACGAGATCTTAACCAGGACAATGAAGCTGGGAGTGCCTGACTTGACAAAAAACCTGTTAAGAAAACAAAGGAGAGGGTGAGTGAGCAAATGAGTGTCAGGGGTTAATATCAAGGAACTAAGTGGAGGAAGGCATGGTACAAATAGCCAAACAGCCGATGTCTGTCAAGATTAACATTCCTCTGTACTGGTTACATGAGCAAAGGATCCTTGAGAAAGAACAACTCTTGTGTAGTGTAATAAAATATCACTTGTAACTTGATTAAGGAGCAAACACCAAGAAGAGGATTTTTTCCAAGCAATTGTATTGGTATCATTGTTTTTGATCTAATTATTCCAGGAACTAAAATGTCACTAAACCCTAAGGACTAATTTTAGCCTCAGTAACTATAATTAAAATAATTACAATGATGATGTATGTAGGCTAAGTTGCGTTAGCATATAACCACACTAAATTTAACTTGCAGGCTCCTTTTAAGGGCAAAGGTGAAGTACAGGATGAAATATCAGTTACAAGAAAGTAATAAACACCTCACAAAGGAAAATTCCTGGTGACCATAATTCAGATGAAATCACAGGTGGAAAACTATCGCAATGGATTTACCTTTTATGCTGCAACGCGTGTAAAAGCGACGTCTCCTGGTTCACTTGGTAGAGCGTGTCCTTCTCCTCATCTTCAAAGTACAGCTAGAAAGTGTGGAGATGTAGTCAGGATTATATATTTTTTACTGTTAATTGTTTTCTGGTCATTCAATATTCATTTATGAAATAACAACATGGCACGGCATTTTTTATATACTACTGTGTGAATTAAATACTTGACAAATGATAGTTCAATTGAAAACGTAAGCGCAAAATGTACATACAAGTTTTAACTGAAAAAAAGAGAACAAATAAAACACAAAGACACTAGGTTTAAATGTATTCAGAAAAATACAAAAATTACATTAGGGAAATACTTTGATTTCAGTGTGTTTGACCAGATGTTAAAAAAGAATTTAAAAGCGGCGGTGGGACTGTCTGCTTTGCGGGTGGGCGCGCGCCTGACTACTGACTATATAGTGCATGAATACATGAAGACTAGATACAACAGCTTCATGCACTAGTTTGATTATTTGCCGTTTCATGCAAAGGAAACGTTCCATGTTTACAGTACAGCTCGCTCGGAGCGCTCAATGTACGTGCGGCTATTCCATTAGTTCATTTACTTATTTTTCTGTAGGTAATAGGTTGTTAAATATGTTTAAACTTAAATAAATGACCTATAAAATAGGTTATGTCGCGTTGTATTCATTTGTCCTGTTATTGACGCGCCTAATGCGCAACCAGATATTCGAATATATGTGTATGTATGTATATGTGTTTTTTTAAAGGAATATTCAAACGTCATTTTTGAGCAATTTTGACGGCCCTAATCTCAATGTATAATTTCATCACAATAAGATTCCACTGTCAAGAGATACATTTCTTTATTTAATAATTGGCCAGCAATATGTAAGATATAGTATTGTTGTGTGTGTGTGTGTGTGTAGCTCTGCTATAGTTTATAAGAAAAGCACAGCTCTACTGTCTGTGGAATAAATGACTAATAACATTAGGTGAAACAAACAAACCTGCAAATTATTTGGATGATATTTTCTGTCTGTGTCCCATGGTGGAAGTTCTTCTCCGAACATAATCGCCAGGTGATCTAAGAAACTGAACCAGGCAGATTGTGTTTCTAATTAATTGTTGAAGTTAATTTAGTCAAATGGCACAGAGTCAAACCACATCCATTTTTGTTAAGGATAAGACAAAAGGGAACAGAGGAGCTTACCAGTCTTTCTCTGAGAAAGCAGATATGAAATCAGTCTGCTGGTGCTCAGGGTAGAGGAAGAGAACGGGCCAGTGCAGGGAGCCCTGCTCGTCCAGAAAGACCTGAGCCCCGGTGGCCTCCTGCGAGCCAAGTCCATCCAGGCTCAGCTGTGAGATCGCTGCCGAGGAGCCTTCATCCTCGTCCTCGCTGTTTGAACCGCTCGGACGAGGCTTCACAGATTGGAGGAGCTTGATGCCTCGATCCTGCGTAAAGCACAGAATAAATGCTCTGATAATTAGTATTAAAATAAAACAGGCTTCGTGGTATATAGAATTAGTGTCGGATAAGCCAGTATTATAAACAATACAATCAATTTCATTCTGAGTTTGAAATATCATGCTTACCTTTATAGCAGCCAGAAGAGCTTCTTTCTCAGCAAGCAGCTTTTTTTGTTTGATCTTGGCCTTCCTGGCATCTCTTTCTTTTGCTCTCTGTGGTACAACATTTACATTTTTAATGTGCTTTGGGTTTTCAGCACAATAGAGACAAAATGTCCAAAATTGAATCTGGACATCCTTTAGAGCATCCCCCTCCCAAATTGATTTGAAGTAATTTATTGTTGTACCTTGTGTTTATCTGCTGCTGCTCTCAGCTCCTGCAGCTTCTTGTCCGTGGGATGAGCTTTGAGCCCCTCGTCACACCACTGGACGGCCTCTGAAAAGTTACGCAGCTCTATACAACTCTGAGCACCTGCAAAAACCAACATAAAATACATCCAATATATACAATACGTATTATAATTTGTTATGCTTACTACACATTGTTATTCTGCTATACTCGACAATTTCTCAACATATTTATGGGGATGTTCTCGGACTAAGCAGGCTTATATTTCTTACCTCTGATCAAGGCTTTAAGGTGTTCAGGTTTAATCTTCTTTGCAGCTGCAGCATCGTTGTACGCAGAGCGCATGTTACCTGAGTAATGTAAAGCAGAAATTAAGAAACAGACAGAACGAGCTCGTCTGCGGGCCAGTCGACAGAAATACATCAACATGCAGATGTATTTCAATAGAAAATCATTATGCTATGAAATAAGCACCTGGCTGCTGGCTTTCATCATATATAATACAATACTAATATATATATATATATATATATATATATATATATATATATATATATATATATATATATATAATGAATGATCCTGTGATTTAACTGCTGGACAATTCGATGCCTTAGAATTGTCAACAACTGCTTCGCTGGTACTATAACGTTGCATATCACAATTAAGCTTATAGGTATTCTTTGAAAAGCCTCCATTCCGGGTTTATGCACAACAGCCCACATGTTTCTGCGCGACATGACAATAGGAGATCCGTACCCAGGTAAAAGTGCGCTGCAGCCCGGTTGGTGAGGAGGACCGTGTCGAGCTCCTGGTCTCCACATTTCTTCTTCAAACCCGCTGTGTAGGACAGTATGGCCTTCTGGTAGTTCTTCTCCTTGAAGTAAGCATTCCCCTCGTCTTTCAGGCCCTTTGCTTGCTCTGGGGACATATAGGAGGACATGAACCGAATCGCTAACATGTTATCAACTCCACAGCAGGTGTTTCAAAAGCGCGAGGGACCCACACACCGACCTTCAGGGGGTCTGTCTTCGTCGTGTAGAATGGCTTGCAGACAAGCTAGTTCTGGGTATTTTTGCGGGTCAATTTCTTCAGGGGCTTTTTTCATGAACATAGGTATCCTATCAAACTCCTGGATGAGACAAGAACAGAATCTCTGTAGGAACGTTGCATTTAACGTTGGCGTGAGGTTGCTGGCATTCAACAACACGAGACAGCGCATTTAACGTTACGGTAGCTTTATTTTTGTAGCGTTACATGTTGGCATTAACGTAAGTTACCTCTTCCCAGTTGTCCTCACTAAACGCATTTTTATAATTTTGGGTCTTGAATTTGTCCATGAACTCGTCCATTCCGTCGTCGCTGTCATGTTGCACCTCCTTTGACGCCATTTTGGATAAATAATTCTGTGTAAAGCGCTATTTTGTCGTATATAAATATTTATATTAACTGTAACGTGATTAGTATCTCCAGCACATCGGCTATGTTGACTTTACCTCTGCTAGAAGTTAGCCAACTTGTTTACACATGTTTGCTTGGGCGGTACTACGTGGATAAGGTCCGTGCGGAAACACAGTACCGACCGACACATTAGTTCCGCCACCACACGAACATTAAAAACCTGTTGTTAAAATATGTATGTGGCAAAGTACTATATGTATAAAATGTTGCTATCATCAGAACAAATAAATTCCACATAACATCCTAAATGTGCCTAGCCTGCTTATTTCTGACATTCCACTTAGTATTTACAATATCTACATGTGGTGTTTTTCTTTTGGAAAGAACCAAGTTGTTCTTTCACCACTGCAAATGGTCATTTTATTTTTCTCTCACTTGTTTGTGCTAGGTTTTTACAAAACGCTACCATTAAGTTACACAAACTGGTCAGTTATAGATGGAAATCTCAAAACACACCATCTCATGATTTTATTTAAGAGACATAAAAGACTGCAAAAATGAAATTGAACCATTGTTGTGTTTTACAAGATAAACCAAAGATAATTATCCCCCGTGCCCCCAAAAAAGGCTCATTATGAAGCTGTTGTTTTGACAGTTACTTAATCAGTAATGTCAGTCAGTAGGTACATTTTGTATAAATATGGTCCCAGTCCTCTTAGGCAAAAGAAAAACATTTATTTTCTGTTATTCCCCACAGAAAACAAAAACATGCATTTCCACATTCATTGTTGTTATTCATACAGTTTCCACTCTTCCCAATAGATCTAACAGCCCATCTTTACTGAGAAACATTGTCTCACCTGTCTGCTGACAAATCACTTCAAATCTGGGTGTTTCCTCCAGAGCTCCCTGTCCCACTACAATAACATACGGGTAACCGAGTCTGTTGGCATCCTTTAGCCTCTTTCCAATGGTCATCTGCGTACGGTCATCAAGAACAACTTCACCTCTCAAACAAGGCCCGGTCTCCCCCAAAGTGTGAACCAGATCCTTAGCTAATAGCGACGCGTCATCCACCTTACTGCCCTTCTTTGGGGGTAAAACACACACCTGGTAAGGGGCAAGAAGGCCTGGCCAGCGAATCCCCTCTTCCGTTGACAAAACCTCAATGGCTGCTGCAAGAATACGGGTTACCCCAAGACCATAGCAGCCCATCTCTGCAATACTAGGCTTGTTCTGTGCACTGCTGAACGTGGCATTGAATATATGGGAGTACTTCTTTCCGAGGTAAAAGGTGTGGCCGACCTCTATACCCTTTGACTCTACCAGTGTGCCAGTTTTGCACTGTGGGCAGTCAGTGCTGTCTGATGACATGGTCTCTACATTAGCAGAGAAGGAGCAGCTTCCACAGACCAGAAGCCGGTCCTCACCGATGTCTGCCGGCAGCTGGAACTCGTGGGAGAGTTCACCACCAATGTTGCCTGTGTCCGCCTGCACCTGAACGCAGCGCAGACCCAGCCGGGCAAAGAGTCTGTCGTATGCCTGCCGCACAGCGTCATAGGTCTCATAAGCTGCTTCTTCGCTCACATCATATGAGTACATGTCCTTCATGTAGAACTCCCTCCCTCGAAGCAGACCCAACTTCGGCTTTGGTTCATCTCTGAATTTGCGGGTGATCTGTTAATAAAACGTAATTAAATCACAATAATATTATACCAAATACACAAATAACAAGAGGCCTGAAGGCTACCTGATAGAGAAGCAGAGGGAGTTGTCGGTAGGAGAGAGTCGTCTGGTGAGCGACCAAAGTCGTCACTGCCTCCTCATGTGTGGGACCCAAGCAGTAGTCGGCTCCGTGGCGATCTTTCAGACGGAACAGCTCCTTTCCCATCAAGTCCCAGCGCTCACTGGTCTTCCAGAGATCAGCAGAGCATAAACTGGGCATGTCCAGCTTCTGCCCACCAATCCCTTGCATCTCTTGGTCTATTAATCTCACCTGTGGATTTAAGACTAAAAGTTATTATGCGTTGATACAATAACACTCTTTACTTCCACAATGGAGTTTGCTCTTTTTTGTTATGAATAGTAAACAAAAAGGAAAATATAAAATGTATTGTTATAGCTGTTCTCACCAGCTTCTCCATGGAGCGGACAATGGCAGGAAGGTAGTAGTAACAACCCGGACTAGACGGATGGATGAGGCCGGCCTGCTGCATCAGCCTCTGGCTCTTACAGGTCACCTCTCCTTGCAGCCGGACGTCCTGCCCCACATCACGCAGGTTTGAGGGCTGGTAGAGGCGGGACACCAGGAGTGTGGGTTTGGTGCGTTTGGGATTGGGGACGGCCGGAACCGTGGCATGCTGGGCGTCTCCCGAATGGTGGCTCCTGGGAAGTACTCGCGCTCTGTAGAGTCGCTGGAAGACTCGCTGCCGAATGCGATTCGTAAGCTCCATAGAAGATCCAGACCTCGCAGGCGAGACGAATCCGTAAGCGCTGAAACTCAGTTCATAGACAATAAATTAAATGAAGCAAGTTGTTCAACAAAATCCCAAAAGTCTGTTGATCATATAAAAGAAGACGCACTTGTAGCAAATTCCATGTTTTAATTTTGGACGTGGGGAGTAAGTAATTAAACTGATTCAAGTAGTTTAGTTTGAGGTATTTGCAATTCATTAAGTTTTAGATTTTATTCAGTCTTCATTTTTTACTCATCAATTTCTCTTTCACTACATTTTTACTCTTTACTCCATTACATTTGTCAGATTAATAGTTATTTTGCTGGCTCAGATTGAGAGTAAAACAAATGAATAATGATGTATCACCTGATTACAGACATTGCATTATTGATCTCTTGCTGAAATGAAAAACCAACTTTATTTACACTTAATAAAACAACAGATACAGTGCATCCGGAAAGTATTCACAGCGCTTCACTTTTTCCACATTTTGTTATGTTACAGCCTTATTCCAAAATGGATTAAATTCATTATTTTTCGCATAATGACAAAGTGAAAACTGTTTTTTGCAAATCTGTTAAAAAAATAAAGAATGAAAACATAACATGTACATAAGTATTCACAGCCTTTGCCATGACACTCAACATTTAGCTCAGGTGCATCCTGTTGCCACTGATCATCCTTCAGATGTTTGTGCACCTTGATTGGAGTCCACCTGTGCTAAATTCAGTGTATTGGACAGGATTGAGAAAGGCACACACCTGTCCATATAAAGGTATCACAGTTGACAGTGCATATCAGAGCATAAACCAAACCATGAAGTCCAAGGAATTATCTGTAGACCTCAGAGACAGAATTGTATGGAGGCACAGATCTGGCGAAGGGTACAGAAAGATTTCTGCAGCATTGAAAGTCCCAATGAGCCTCCATCATCCGGAAATGGAAGAAGTTTGGAACCACCAGGACTCTTCCTAGAGTTGGCCGCCCAGCCAGACTGAGCGATCGGGGGAGAAGGGCCTTAGTCAGGGAGGTGACCAGGAACCCGATGGTCACTCTGACAGAGCTCCAGCGTTGTTCTATGAAGAGAGGAGAACCTTCCAGAAGGACAACCATCTCTACAGCACTCCACAAATCAGGCCTGTTTGGTAGCGTGGCCAGACGGAAGCCACTCCTCAGTAAAAAGCACATGACAGCCTGCCTGAAGGACTCTCAGACCATGAGAAACAAAATTCTCTGGTCTGATGAAACAAAGATTGAACTCTTTGGCCTGAATGCCAAGCGTCATGTCTGGAGGAAAGCAGGCACTGCTCATCACCTGGCCAATACCATCCCTACAGTGAAGCGTGCTGGTGGCAGCATCATGCTGTGGGGATGTTTCTTAGTGGGAGGAACTGGGAGACGAGTCAGGATTGAGGGAAAGATGAATGCAGCAATGTACAGAGACATCCTGGATGAAAACATGCTCCAAAGCGCTCTGGACCTCAGACTGGGGCAACGGTTCATCTTCCAACAGGACAACGACCTGGAGCACACAGCCAAGATAACAAAGAAGTGGCTTCGGGACTCTGTGAATGTCCTTGAGTGGCCCAGCCAGAGCCCTGACTTGAGCCCGATTGAACATCTCTGGAGAGATCTGAAAATGGCTGTGCACCGACGCTCCCCATCCAACCTGATGGAACTTGAGAGGTTCTGCAAAGAAGAATGGGAGAAACTGCCCAGAAATAGGTGTGCCACGCTTGTGGAATAAAACCCAAGAAGACCTGAGGCTGTAATTGCTGCCAAAGGTGCTTCAACAAAGCATTGAGCAAAGGCTGTGAATGCTTATGTACATGTGATGTTTTCGTTCATTTATTTAACAGATTTGTAAAAAAGTTTTCACTTTGTCATTATGGGTTGTTGTGTGTAGAATGTTGAGGAAAATAATTAATTTAATCCATTTTGTAATAAAGGAATGTGGAAAAAGTGAAGCGCTGTGAATACTTTCCGGATGCACTGCATTTAAGCCTAGTGTGCGTTAGAGGACATTACTCGCTACTGCAAAAACATACTTTACAGCTGAAGTCAAGGTCGTCAACACTGCAATCCATTAAATAAGCTACAGATGTATTAAACTAATCGCGGCATTGGTGGTGAATGCAGATGCGTATGTTTAAAGTGTCTCCAACAGGGAGACTTCACAGAAAACAAGTTACAGTAACGTTGCCAATCACTAACGTTAAACCCTTTAGCTAACGTTAGCTGAAATTAGCTTCCTCAGTTAGCACAACGCGACGTTAGTTAAGTAACAAGTAAACAACACTCACTCCGGTATTTGTTGTCTGGTTGTTCCGAGTAGTTTATTGGAGCAGATGAGCAAATAGTGACATTTCTATGAAGTTGACCAGCTGCAGCGCGTTGGTGTTTCCGTCAGCTCACGCCGCCTATCCGGGGTCGCTCTGTCGCCGCAGCGCCCCCTGTGGGCGTGGAGGCGGAACCACAGGGAGGTGAATGAAAGGATGAAAGGGGGGGCGGCCTGCGTCCGAGGGTCTTTGTGTCAACGGTGGCGTTTTAATTGATTGTAGGTTTTAGTAAATTTCATGTTCTTCCCATCTACCCGAGAGGTTAATAGAAAAACGTCAGTTCACCGAAACACAACAATGCATGACAAATATAAACACCTGCAAAGTGTGACACTGGGCTTCAAAGAATTGCATTTAATGGGAAAACAGTTGTAATGTGTTGCATTATTGTACTGCTGTACATTATATAGTGAACTCCAACTGTACATTAGCTCCACACTTCACTGAGAAGTTCTCTTGCCACCTGGCAACGGGCATCAGCAGTGTTTGCTTTATGTTTAAGTTGTACAATGACTTGGTTTTTGCTCATATCCAGAAAATGAAAATCCTAAAACTCAATCCCAGTTCACTGCAAAATGGTCATTTCTGTATTCAGCATATAGAGCTGAGGCCTCAACGGATGTTTCTAGGTTAAAAGTGTGCTCCCATGAGTTCCAATGTAAATCAAATGTTAACAACTTACATTATCTTAGAGATGTCATCTTTTATATTTACTAGAGACAAACATCATCCTGGAAGGGGACAGTGATAAACTGATTAACCCAATCAGTTGACCGCAACTTTTTTGGAGAGTCCAGTATCGTAATTCACGTTGAGGTGAAAATAAATGGAGCAGTGCAAAATATAGACAAAGAAAAAAAGGAGACATTTGCCTCGGATTTTTATTGACTGTTCTATAGAAATAAGAAAAAGGCCTTTTCAATAGAAACAGTTTGCGGAAAATCAAACAGAATAGAGTGTGCAGTGTTTGGTAGAATAAATGAGTTTTTATTGAACGCTTTACTGTGCCGCAGTCTGTGTTAGTGCACTTTTTCTGGCTTTATAGCTCATTATGTCAGCAATTTGAAACCATTATTCCTTGGGTGAGTCAATGACACGAGGCAGTACGCTCACACTGCAAACAGAGTGTCCTTCTGGCTCAGGTGGGGAAAGGGCTCAGTCTACCGATACACTTACACGCAAACACACACAGGCCGGGTCCCTCACACAAACGCACACATACGCTGATGTGTTCCTGAGCCAATTGGGTTTGTGCCCGTTTCATTCAGTTATCCAGCGCATTTTGTTGTAAGATTTGTTTTTCAGAGACTGGATGTCTCCTGGAGATATGAACAATTCCAGTACAACAGATCCTATCTGCAAATTTGTCTGTTTGTATTACAGAAAGGTTATAGTAAACTGATTTTTAAAAGATCCTCTCTTTACATCACCTTTAAATCTTCACGTTGCAGTGTCACATCGATTCTTAAATTCCGTTTCGACATTATGGCCGAACACATGTTGTAATTAGATAACCACTAACAAGCTCCCACCATAACGCGGGGGAGTATTTTCTACTTCATTGCAGCTGTTGCTCAGTTTGCTTGAAACAAATTACGGTCGAGTCCATGAAACAGACACATAGTTGTACCTTTTTTTGTATTAACATACACTGTGCTCTCTTTGTGGTTTGCAGGGATAACACAACGAAGACGAGGAGCAAGAGCAGAATCACAAAGCCAGAAAGCATGTTAGCCACGCTAAGTGAATAAACCAATGTCTGCTGATACTGCATGATTAGCTCACCTGAAAAGAAGATCATAAGCATGTGTAGTCTGAATTTAAGGTACACTTATTGACTTGTACCATGATGGAAATGAAGCTCAGCACTTAGTGGACTTACAGTAAAGGTGAATGGACAGTGCTTGTTTATCACAACACGGCATCATTCACCCACTCGTGCACTGATGACGTTCACCCTGGAGTTGAGTGCCTTGCCCACGGACACGTCGGTATGGACATGGAACGACCCTGCTGTTTGATAAGCCACAGCCACATTAAGGAATATAAGAAGCTCACCGTTAATGTTAATGTAGTATGACACAATGTTCTGACTCAGTTGTAGCCTGAGGTTTCCTCTTAATGTCGACCTGAAACAAGGTGCTGAAAAGGGGCAAAACCAAGCAAACATATTTCAAAAGTCGTCAGGAAGGTTAGGTTCAGAACCAAGCAAATATTATTTGTGCAAAGAATTGTTAAATGTATTACTATTAATTTCCCCTTTTAGTGTTACTAGTTCTGTATAAGGTTTGGTCGCACTCTCTTCAACAGCTTTTTTTGTTTTTATGAAAAGAGAAAAAAACAATCTTTTCACTTTTTTCTCAGTTTTCAATTTTCATATTGTGGTTTTCACAGAGGGATAATCACACATAATATATATAAGAAGATAACTTCATTGACATCCTGGGATGGGACCCGTGTCGTTAATGATCGTACCATCAGCACCATAATGACCTGCATAATGAGGCTGTCAACATTGACTCTTTACCGCTCAAACTGCTGTAAAGACAAAGACAACGGTGCCAGATTGCTGTGAACACACGAAACATCTGTTTGGGAATGACTTTTCATCACCTAATTAGCCGTGTGGTAACGTGGGGGTAAGTGCACTCCCAGCCTTAAATCACATCATCACAGAAGAGGCTGCACTCATCTCACGCAACAGTTAAATGAAGGTTGTAAAAGGCTGATAGTTGTCACTCTGTCTTTGATGGCAAAAAACGGTGATGTGGAAACGACCGGAAACATAAAATGATTGTGCGTGTGTGTGTGTATGTGAGATTGGGATGGGCTGGAGGGAGGAGGCAGAGGGATACTCGGCGATGATGAACTGAAAGGTGGACGCTATATAACACACGGAGATGCAAGCACCGGATCGAGAAAGAAGACTCAACGACAGCAGAGAAGATCACATAACCAACTGGAAACAGGACAGAAGTTTGTGGAACAAAGCGGATCGACAGAGGCATCCAGCATGCGCGCCCTGGTGCTGTTTCCCCTGCTGCTGTGTGCAGTGGCGAGTGTGGTCCAGGTGGGAGCGGAGGTGAAGGCGGTGAAGCTGTGCGGGCGAGAGTTCCTGAGGGCTGTCGTTTACACCTGCGGAGGATCCCGTTGGAGGAGATTCCCCGTCGAGTCAGACACGGATGGTGAGACAAATTCTGTTTTTATTGTCAAAGCAGCAGACACGAAGAAGAAGAGTCTAATCAAACATACCGAGCTTTCTTTTTCCTCAGGTGCAGGATGACACTTGTTACACGTCTGTACAAAAAGAGGGATAATACAGAATAACATATATATGTATTTTTTTTCTGAAGATAGCCTTATAGGTTATATATAAAGGCAATAGTTGACCATAAGAAAGTCAAAACAGGTGTTGATGGCTGTAATTATTCCTTTGATTCATATCTGCCATTAAAAGATGCCAAAATATGCGGTCCTCCCTCCAGTGGAAAAACGTATTCAGAATTCTATCTGAAGCTACGAGGATGCAACGGAGTTAGCCAAATCAAATAGATGTCTACCCAAGTTCTCTAATATCCCTCCAGCTCGACGAGGAAACACAAAGATAGAATTTCACACATAAAAGGCTGTCACCTGGAATACATTTGTGCACAAAGTACGTTAGAAGGCACCTTTTAATGGCCAAAATCATCAGGAAGAGTAATATTAACAAATATTTTTGTGTGTGTTTAAATATGTATCTTGAACTTGAACTTTTCTTTAAACTAGACGACGTAGGTTTACTACAAATTTGGACCTATAACTTATTGCTATTTATTTTCTATATTAAGTTGATGATTCTCTTCTTTTGACTCTAAAATAACTTAAAAATATGCTGAGTATCTTTTTTTTTTTTTTTTGATGAGTCCTTCACTGACTCAACATTTGAGTGCCAAGAACTTAAGGACAGACTACTTTTTTTTTTTTTTTCATGTTCGCAAAAGTGACCAACGGCAGTGATTCCTGTTGCACGTGCTGTACTGTTAATTCAGTGTCTGTAATGCAGTGGGTGTACAAGCAGACAGCTGCCCCGCGCACAGAGACTGGTCTGCGGTTTAAACATATTAGAGTTCAGGAGCCCACATATCAGGATTAAATACTCGGCCTCTCTCAGACAAACACGGTTATCAGTCGTGCTGATTAGAAAAGAGAAGAGTGACACTGGAGAAGACAAATAACACACTTAATCTGTGACTCATTTAGAGTTTCCTTATTCAATGGGAGCATGGACCTCAATTATATAAGATCCATATGAAAACAGTTGGTCCTTCTTTACTCCGCTGGAAACAATGGAGAGTTCTTGAAATGTAAATTTGCAGTGTAAAAGTGTTTATGAACCAGGCTGTTGGACCGGATTTAGAACAAGCGTTCCTTTAACTTTAGTTGCATTTTGTTGTTCCAGATTTGTCCACAGGGGATCAGAGCAGTTTGGAGAGTAGCGGCCCAGGCTCCCAGTTGACCAGACGAGATATTAACAACATACTGACCACAGTGTGCTGCCAGGTGGGCTGCAGGAAGAGCGACCTCGCCTTCCTCTGCTGAGGCCTCCATCTTCTTCTCTCCAAAATGACTTCTCTCTCTCTCAGATAAATCTGATTCAAAATGCTGATGGCTTGAAAACACACAATCGCTGTATTGTTATGTACAGTTGCTTTTAAAATTGATGTTTTGGCGAGTTGTTACTTTAGCTTGTGTTGTTTGTAGATGTGAACGTGTGGAACACATCTGTGGATCCGTCTCTGAACCCCATGTGGATGATACATGCAGCCATAAAAACACGTTGTATTGTGATATGAATAAAGCTACATGGCACCAGTTCACCAGTCCCCGTAATGCATCAACCAGGTAAATAATACAAAGAACTGTGCAAACGTGGTTCCAGTTATAACTTTTATTGGATTTGGACAGAAGCAAACTAAGTGTCTCAGTTCATCTTAGCATTGTTATGTATTGTACAAACAGCTTGCACACATGTTTTGAGGTGAACGGGGACAGAACCAAAAAGCATTCTGGCTTATAGCACAACATAAACACACTCCCTACTCGCTTCTCAACATTAATACAGGTAACCGACACCCGGCACAACACGCCAATACAGTACTATCGATCGTCATGGATGCCCCAACGTTTACTCCATCATCTGCATGCAATGATGAATTACTGCCGGACAAATTCACCACAGAGATAAAGATCGGTAAAAGCGTTGCACCCGTACCCATCTTTTAACAGATGCAAAGGCGTGTTATTTGTGGTGTAGTATTTTAGAACAGATGGTGGTTTAGGGTTACCTGGGCCGCTGTAGATAATGCTGTAGTGACGGTTGCACCGATAGCTTCAAGTTTCACCAAGGTTACAGCTTCCTGTCAGGCAAGTCGATCCAGCCGCTCAACCGGATGGACTGAGATGACAGAACAAAGTGTTCCCAGAATAATGCAGGAGCTGAAGGGCCCCAATCATGGTCACCTTGCGTTCATGGGTTGAAAGCAAAGTCAGAGAAAACCACAGTGCTCTTTTAGACTCGAGTCTGCAAAGGAACAAATCTGATCAAAAACAGGAGACTTCTGATCAATTCAAAAGCTCCATCTACTCTATCACTTAGAATAGTGTTGACATGTTGCGAATAGTCCTCTTGTTCTAAATTCAGCCTTGAATGCTTCTATGTGGGCTCTGAAAGGACCACGATTGGCTGCATTTAGCAGAATGCCGACATACAGTAAGTACAGTAGGGAGATCTTCGGCTACACGTCACACACACACACACACACACACACTTTTTGTTCTTTGTGTTGAGTGTCAGAGCATTTAGGAAGTTCAACATCATCAGCACAGTGTTACACATTGAACAATATATTTTTTCATTTTTATCCGTTTAAAAAATATTCAGCTTATTCTTAACTGAGGACTGACTGTCCAGGGTACACGCACATAAAATACAAAAGAGAGAGAGAAAACAAAGCATTTTGGTCAACTTAACCTCGCTCCACAACCTCATTCAACTCATGTCATCTCACAGAGACCATTACAATTATGCAAAATAAAGCCATGGATTCAAGCGCAGGTTGGATGATGAGGGGGGCATTCATGATATAATCAGGGAGGTTAGGTTCCCCGAGGTGAAGGGAAACATTGAGGAATAACTGGACATTAGAATGTTGTATTAATACAAGCGTTTCTAATGAGCTTTGCAAAATAAAAAATAAAATGTGCTGGTCCCAGTAAAGAAATCCTGTTCCTGTACTGGTACCACAAATGTCATAACAGTTGATGAGAAAAATTGATTGCTTTTGTAATTATCTTTACCTTATTAAAAGGAAAAGGAAAAACTGTTTGGGAAATACGCTGATTCACTATCTTGCAGGGTAAAATGTAAAATGATAAACTGGAGTCCCAAGATGATTGGCTTAGCTTGGCATGAAGACCAGACACTGGGGGAAGCAGTTCTTCCCGCTTTGCCCAAAGGTTGTGCTAACAGCAGCGCTTTAAGCTTAATACGAACTTTTCTCCTCTGAAATGTTCAGCTGGAATAACGTAACATCACCTTAGTTTAGCACGTTAGCCGGTTGACCTTTGCAGACTAGCAATAAAGTACGCGGTACAGCAGAGTCATAGTCCAGAATACATTTGGGGTGATGGCGGTGCTGTAGGAACAGTGCGGTGACCGCCAAAGTCGGAAAAGAATGTGGCATCTTGATACACCCCCCCCCCCCAAAAAAAACAGGCTAGCTGTTTCCAGTGTTTATGCCAAGGTAACCAAACCCTGGCTGCAACCTCATGTCGAACAGGCAAATATGAGTGGCGTTAACTCGTGAAAAAAGAAAACTAATAATCCCCACAGTGTCCAACTGTCTCTTTAAAGTGAGACCCTTGACCATGGTGTAACGAACTCTACATTAACACTGCTTTCACAAAGCATAAGCACAACATCCTGGAAGATATTTACCTTTCTCTTTAAATTACCTCCCTCACCCATATATATATCTGGAATCTTCGGTTGCACTCGAGTTAAAAAAAATTATATCTGAAATGAATTCAAAAATTATACCTTTTACTGTACACAGGTTACCCAACTACACCAATAACAAAAAAAGATTTCCAATATTTATACCTTTAGGGGTTCTGAGATGTGTGATACCATTCAAATTCTATTCGTACACAGAATCACGTTTTATACAACAAATCATTGTCATCAATAAATAAAAATAGAATGCTGTGATGTACTCTGGAGTCTATCACTGCTGTCCTGGGAACAACAGAAAGGCTATCGGACAATACGAGGAAAACACCAAACGCCCTTTAAGATATATATTATTGATTTAAAATGACACTTTGTACACTAATTTTTGTTCTGACAGAAAACCGATGATCTTATTCTTCAACCAGTAAATTGATTCATCATTGCAGCTGCCTAACAAGGTAAAAATCTCTGCATGCTTGGGTATTCCAGAGGAATAAAATAACAGTTTGATTGACTGATCAGTGCATTTAAATTAAAAAGGATGCGATCCAAGGTCGTGTGACCCTGTAGTACCGGCAGGTGATGCATAATGATGTGTTTCAAGCACAAACAGGAAACACCATTTTCCTTTTAACCAACTGGAGCAACGTGGGTCGATATGCATGAGTAAATGAACTTACTTTATGGCAGAAGACGCGCAGTAGGCCAACGTCAGTGTCTCAGAATGTGAACTCTGCTAATGAACGTGTAGGGCATATCATCTAGTATCCTACGCCTTGCTTCAACTTAAACTACTTTTAAGTACTTTTTTTATCAACTTTGGGAAGTCGGACTTTGTGTCAGAGGTTGAGGTGAGTGTCTGACCACAAAGATGTTGGTTAGGGGGGAAATGGGTTTTTTTTACAGAAAAATCTTCCTGGACTCTTGGCAACAAGCAGCCTGTCACCCGGACTTCAAAATCTGGCCCAGATCTGTCCGTCTTATGTCAGGCAGCTGCAGTGAAAACTTTAAAACAACACCAGCACACATTGAGCGGAGGAGGATTGGGACAGAGGCACAGACTTCAGAGGGGGGGAATAACCCAGGTGTCTAACTGCAGCAATACAGATGTTATGAAATTAATACAAATACCATCATTACATGACCTAGAACAGTTTCCACGACGCTATATGCAAGTTATACAATACTGCTGGCGAGGCTGCGGACCCGTCATGAGGGTTCAGGAAAGGTTGAACGGTTAATGGAAAGTCTACTGCCAGGGTGTCCTCTGTGTCAACTCCAGTCCAGTGATTTTGTACAGTGCTGTTTTCAGTAGTATGGGTTAGTTGTCGGCCAGGTATTTTCCTGAAAAGCATCAAAAAAAAATGTTTAGGTGTCATGTTTCAGTTAATTAACAGATCTGTTGTTAGTTCAGTCACACACGGCATGATTACATATCAATCAAAGTCCTGACAATGAAACTAATATAGAAAAGTGGGTCAGAACAGAATCAGAAAAATCTTTTTGTGCTACACTGACCATAGGACACGTAAACAGTTTATTTTATTTATTTCCATTGTCAACCCGCAGTTTTACAGCAACAAATCTGTAATTTAATGCAGCAGTTGGCTGAATTCCAATAAAATGGCCACTTAGAAAGTGTGCTGAGCAGCCCGACAGAACCTAAATCCGAATAGTAGACAATACACACATTTTAGACAAGTGTTAACAATAAATAAAAATAAAAAAACTAACTAGGCTAATCTTCAGGCTGTGTTCGATAAACAATGTTTGACAACACACAATGATGATGATGGTCGGTAATTCATTACTGGGATTTAGAAAGGGTTTAAACTGGTGATTAAGCAGAGTGTGACGTTGATAAATAGTGGATAAATCCACAGGTTGTTTCTGCTGCTGAACTGACCTGCGGCAAACCTCTTCTTGATGAGAGAGAAGCGGTATCCTGGCCCCGCCAGTTCAACGTCGCAGCCCGACAGGGTGCTGCCCTCGCTGGTGAACTGCAGCGCGAGGGCAGCCGGCTTACTGGGGCCTTCGGTCAGCTGGAAGCGTGCTAACAACGACCCCACGCCTGAGGGAAGATGATGACTTTAGAGAGAGGATTTCAGGTTGAACAATGATCTAATTCTCACTATTTATACAGTGAAAGGCACAAGGGAATTAAGTTTAAAGTGTAAAAAGCATTTGAAACACGTGTTGGTTCTGGCTTAATAGACCCATAGACACGTGCCGTTTCCTAAATATCACTAATATCCCTAAACTTTATATATACTTATAAATATACTATATATACTTATATAAACGTGTTATTCTGTACGTACCTCCGTTTTCAGATTTCTGTGAGATATCAGGAATTTTCCATAGAATGCGTTGCTGCTCAGCATTCCTGTCAATATACACAAGAGGACGTATGAACACATTCAGAAAGCTACTTAGACCATGTGACTAAATGAGAGAAAGTCAAAGCGTATTTAAATCAAAACCTCTGCAGATACTACATACCAATATAAACAGTAAAATATACGAAACAATGTAGAGACCCTATCATGCATGCGGCGTCTATAAATAATAATATATCTCTAACATACCACCAGGTATTACACACTATATACGGTCTAGTAACTTAAACACCACTATAACAAAGATTAGACCGTACCATGCAGCAGGAGGTAAAACAGCCTGTAGTTTTGAAACCCCTCCGTTGACCGGGACGAGGAACTGGACGTTGTTGAGGGCCATCGGTGTCGTCATGGCCTTCCCGTTGTATTTGTAGTCTATCCTCAGGTCAGTGCTGGTGGGCTCACATCTCCAGCTCACCGCTAGATTCAAAGGAATCGACTGATGCCCCTCCGTTGACACCTAAAACGTGGTTTTACGTGGTTGAGGGATTGTGACATCGGTTCAAGTTGCTCCCATCTATTTAAGCCCCCTCCTCCCCTCATGTTTGTCAAAGCAGCGGTGTATCTCTTTGTCAAGCTATACTAGCGCTGACCTGATACTTGAGCATGTCCACGTTGTAGTAGGTCGCCTGAGGCTTCTGCTCTGACACCTTCTTCAAATGGGATATCAGGTTTGGCATGTTCACCCAGAAGTCCTTGGCGTCTGCCTTGGCTTGCGTGGTGGTGTCGCTAGTGGAAAAGCAAGATAGTATTATGACATTTGTATGTGATATTTTGTAAAATCAAAGTACAGCACCCAGCGTCTTGGTTTTAAAAAAAAAAATGTTTGACCAGGAAAAAAAAAACTTATTTTGCCAATAATGACTTGAGTTTTACAAGCTTTGGTAAGCATTTTCATTTCACAGTGAGCCACTAGAGGTCGGTCTTTACACTGATTTTGAGAATTTGAACTATGCGGGGTTTGAGAAAAGCATTTTATAAAAGACTCCTGGCCGGAGTTGTTTTTTTTAAAAGAAACATATTCTGATTTCATTTAGTCATTAATCATACACAGTCCTTTTGACACTGTTAGTTTTTGGTGAAATATGTGTAGTTTCACTTTGTTTTCCAGCAACTTTGTGCATTTTAAACATTGTACCCTTTAATGTTTCTTTTTGATCGTGTTAATCATCATGTTAATGAGATCATGCCGTATATTATTCATTTCATATTGATACAACACATGACATACTGGAAGTGTGATAAAAAGGATTTGTTGTGCATAAAAAAATATATTCAAATGTTATTTGATGAGTCACACAAAATGTTGATTAAGAGTGGTCATTAACTAATATGTACACAAGAGGGTGATTATTGTGATAGCTCTATGAAACATGCGATTTTGGTAATATTATATGCACAATAAGTGCTTCATTTGGATTTACTGAAGTTTAGTAGATTATTAACGCTCATTAAAGTTTAAAATTACAATGGACACAATTCAGCCTTCTTGAACTACACATGTAGTAAGATCATTTTTTCACTGCTTCACTGCCTCCGGTGAAAAGAGTTGTGTGTTTGTTTGTTTTGAGAGTGAGGTGGTGAGTTGACAGTGGGGTCATTACCAGCACAGCAGCTGGGGGTTAGGCAGCACATGCTCCAGTCGGCTGTAGTTGGTTATGCTGAAAGTTAGCACGGCGGGGGACGGGTTATTGGCAAAGTGCCGCGTGATGCCCGCTGGAAACGACAAAACCATCTCACCTATGACCTTCACAACACACCTGAGGGGAAGACAACACGTGTGTTAGAGACTCAGAAACTCTGCAGTGCACATTGGACTGGAGGAAAAGGCTTCAGGCCAACGTTAGTTTCACATAAATGTAATATAGTTAACATTACAGCATTTATATTTGCAATGCTTTGTGATCGACGTGCCGCTACAGTAAAGAGATGCAAGTCACACTGTTCATAATCATTTGAGTGAAGGAATATGTCAGTCAGTGCAGCTGCACTGGTTGCTGCTGACATAAAAAAAAAAACCTGCGTGTATTAGCGTGTTTGGGGTGATGTAATACACATGCAAAATAGTCAAATAAAGAATAGGACCAATAAAATCATTTTAAATAAAAATAATAATACTCCATACAGTGTTAAGCCTGTTGGTGAATAACGTGAATATGTAAACAGTTAACAGCTTAATAACATTGACTGCACCATCATATTGGTCATTCGAAAAGAGTTTACCCTACAGTTACAGATGCTTTATAAGAGAAGTTAGAATTCCAACAATGTGTTATATAAACAATGAATTAAATGTTAATTAAGAAGAGGATTCACTAAAGTATTACTAACTCCAGCACCTATCCTTAAAACACTTCTGAATAAGCTGAATTCATCAGTCACAGTCGTACCTTCATAAGCAATCAGAACATGTTGTGAATATGTGGAGAGTTTGTTGACCTACTTGCTCGGGTCAGCTCCTTTAAAGAAGGCGTTGACCGTCTCTGTAAAGGCGGCTGCCACAGGAAGAGTGTCCTGAGCCCCCATGGTGAGAGGACTGGGCCCTCTGGAGCAGCCTGAAGGCAGCACGCACACGCACACACACACACACACACACACACACGCACGCATTAAATAGTCTCAAACTGGCAAGACACACGCTCAACTGTTCCAAACAGCCAATGAGCTCAATTCTTTCCTATCTTTTATGGTTGTTCTGACAAAAGTCGGGACTGCATGAAACATCAATATTTAATAGCCAACCAGGTACACAATACGACAACTGAAGCCGAGTGTAAGAATAGATACAAATCTCACCTCCCAAACCAGGACACCTTCTCTCTACTCTAAGTAGTGTGTGGATGGAATGAGAACGGCACACAGTGGAATGAAAATTAAACTTTAAAAACTATTTAAAATGAAAACAATAATTGTGTTAGTATGGTGGCACAAGGTTCAGGTTATTGGCGAGGAGGAGAGCTAGTTCTCTGTTCTTTGACTGTGACGAATTAAACACATTTAGACATCGCTTCAAACAAAACCCTTGTTTATGATGTTACACTTTGACTTTTAATTGACTAAGCAGAGGTACAGGACAGGGAAGAGAAAGAAGCAGACGTAGAGAGAAACAAAGATGTGCGTGCTTATTTCACACATGCTGTCAAAGCTGAATTATTCAGACAGGATCAAAGAGATTCAAAGATCAAACCAAAAGTAACGACAGAGAGATCAGTCAAGTACAGGAAGAAGGAGGATTCCTCGGGGAATAGAAGGCGGTCAACGCAGATGAAATGAGAAGGAACAATGTCAGGGAGAAAAGGCAGAGGAAGATATGACAAGGAGGGGGGAGTGTTGGAGGGAGGGGGGGGCTCAGCCAGGAGTTAGCATGGTGTGGGTTAGGCTGAGGGAGGGATTGAAGAGGAGGGAAAAGTTTAGGGGAGGGGGCGCGAAGCTTGCACAAATGAGCCTCAAAAGAGTGTGTGTGCACGCTACCCCTGGTGCAGAGAAAACTTACCTTCAAAGGTTAAATAAAACTTCCCTCTGTCAAACCATACAAGGGATGGCTGGTCATTCTCTGTGTGGGATTGAGGGGTGGAGGAACGAAGGGAGGGAGGGGGGGTCCGGGGAAAAGGTGGACGAGGTGGGGTGGGGAGGAGGGATGAAAGGGAGGGCAGTGGGTGAGGAGGGAGAGAAGGACAGTAGCGTGAGTCTCGCATGGCAGGTCTATCACACGTCACAGTGGGGTGAAACGTGGAGGTGGGGGCCGGGGGCCGAAAGAGGGACAAGCCGAGACAGGAGGCTCAGAGGATGTTTTTTTTCGCGGGTGCTTACGTGCATGAGGAAAGACGGGAGTCTGTTGTCGTGAAGGCTAGGTGTGTGTGTGTGTGGGTGTCTGCTCGATGCTCGCTATTACAAACTACATGTACAATAAACACAAGGGTTTTCCCGCTGAAAGAGGCCGAAGACACAATTTTATCTTCTCCATTATGCAACATAACAAAATGGTAATGCTATTTACATACTTTAATACTTTTAAAATATAAAACAAAGCAGGCCTTTGAGTATACAGACCCACTGCAGGGGTCAGCCATGACACGTGAGCTGGGGAGGAGGGGCTGGATCCCCCGGGGAACATGAGACCATGAAGGAGAAGACTGTGCGATAACAACTAAGCACTTTCAGAAAGTCACGGTTAACTTTAAATCGCAAAGATATTTCCCTAATATCCAGAAAAAGCTGGACATGTATATTAATTACAACAACAACAACTTGATAGAACAAAACCTTTTTTTTTTCTTAATAACCTTAAATGATTCTTTTTTTATATGTAAAAAAAACTAGATTTGTTAAATTAAGCCTCTCGGTAATATAACGCATGTTTACGTTTGGTAGAGCTATTTCGAGTCATAATACATCTTTGAAAAATGTATCACGCCCAACTTAATCTGATTAAGCCATGCCTATTACTTCAACTGAGCAATGTTGGAAAAAGGTTCAGATAAGATTATTATTACCCAGAAAGTCAAAATGAAAAGACATAGTTTCCACCTCCTTTTTCCTAGTGAGGACATCAAAGTGCTACCAGAGATGCAGGTGCAAGAGCAAGCACTACTACGTGTGGCCATATTTCCTAAATGACAAAGAACAAATAAAAATTCAAGCAAAAGAGAAAATATATACATATGCTTTTTAAATGTTTAATTTGTTTAAACAGCAGCTTGTTCTCGTCCATATATTCTGTGTGATGTCCCGGCATTGAAGGTGTGTTGAGTGAATGGACTAACAGAGTTGAACGCACCGTGAAGAGAACAAAAGGGCAGTTGTTCAGATGCAGAGGGCGGGGTTAGGCAGGTTGTCATTTTCTCCGGCTAGAGAGTGCATGAGTGAGAGGTGTGCGCCGGGTGGGGGGAAGGAGGGGGTCAACTATAGGAGCAGTCAGAAGCTTTGGGGCCAGGTGGAGATCGGTGGAACTCGAGGCTGTGCCGTGCCACTCCAGTGGCACAGAGAGGGCGGCATGAATACCAAACAGCTGCCGCTTGTCTAATTCAGGCCAATTCTCATGCCAGACTTCAAACAAATCTGTGAGCAGTAGCTCTGAGTCTGACAGTATGCGTGAGAGTGTGCGTTTGAGAGAGTGTGTGTGTGTGTGTGTGTGCGCATGCGAGAGAGTATGACTAACAATATGGATCTCAAGGGCCCACAGATAAGGAGCTCTTCAGGCACGCTCATTGAAGCCGCAAACACACTCTGGTGGTGCAGGCTGAGAGTCAGGGTATCTGGGAGGAAATGCACTGCACTCTACACACAAACACAATATATGTTTCAGAGAAAAGGGACGCATGGTTTTCATGGTGACATGGCGAAACAGCCACTGGTGCACAGTCATAAAACAGAGAAAAGTCTGATGAGCAGGCAGATGGGCAAAGGGGAGGACACTATTTTATAGAAAAACAAATGACAACATGTTGTGCAATAGATGCAGCTTTGCTTTTTGTGTCACCACTGCTTTTGCAGATTTTGTCTGCGGGTAACAAAAGAGGTTTGAGAGCGACTGAAAGAGAGATGCTAGTCATGTCTAGCAAATATGTGGAAAGATAAGCGATGGCAAAAGGGAAAACGGTGAAGAAAAATTACCGCTTTAATGAATAATGAATTTGAAAAGAATAAAATGAATGCCTTCCTGCTCTGCAAGCAAAACCTGATGCAGACTTGTGAAATCAGTAGCGATTAGGAAAATGATAAGAGATTTTTTAACACGTCTCATAACTTCAGATGTATAAAAGGTGAAAAGATTAATGGAACTGAAACATAATTTGGGGGGAAAAAGTACGTGTGTCTCCCTGAACACTTGGACTGACTGAAGCACGAAAATACTGAGTGTGGGTGGGAGGTGGTCCCATCCATGTTAAGTGCACTATGTGTGCACTATGTGTAAACATATGGAACAGATAAAACACTGAGACAGTCCTTCCCAACCCCTTCCTCTCTCTGAGGAGATCTTTACTATACCTGCAAACGAATCAAAGTGTCTCTCAAAGGTGGGCAGTTTGTCTACATAAGCATCGTCTTCTGACAAGCCAAAAGGACAAATAAAGAGACAAACAAACAGCAAAACAGAAAAGCAGAAAGAAAATCAAGCCAAGGAAAAATCAATCATAAGTAAAATTATGAAAAGAACTGGACTTAAAACAAGTTTAAAAAAAAGGGACGCATCTTAAAACAAAAACGATGAAAAAGATGAAAATGTCCAAATAAAAAGCACTGAAGCTGAAGTAGCGGCAGATTTTAGGTTTCATTGACCTTTTAACACTGTTCCACCAACATAACTGTGATAAATAAATGATGTATACATTTCGGGCAGTATTTATATTAAGGTCTCACAGTAAGGAAGCCGTTTACATGTTTGTCTCTGTAATCAGTTTAAAAAAAACAAACCTCCAACCAAGAACTATTTTTATTTTGATATTGTTTAACTGCTGCCTGAAGAGTCTTTTCTTAAATCTACTATGACTCGTTACAGTCTACTGAGATTGGCGATTATCCATCCTCATAATACTGCACCACAAGTGTATAAATGGTTCTCGTGTATTCATTTAAAAAAGGTTTTGTTTGTTTGAGTACAGTTATAAATGTGTGTCGAATGGTCTGACTAGACAATGTTTATGAGAAGGATTGCAATTCCTTGTATTCAAATTATCTTTAGGAGTTATTCACTCGTATTTCAAATGAATAGAAAACAGGATGCAAATGATTGCAATGTTTTACAGAATCAATCTGCAGATATAAGCTGCTGAAATGGATGGGTTTAATAATTAACGTTGGTGCTGTATTACTGACTTCATTCAGTAAATAATCATTTCCAACAAACTGTCACTGTTTCCACAAAAAGTAAATACAGACAAAGCCGCATGAGTCATTCAAACATAAATCGAAGAGTGCAAGGAAGGACGGGGCCAGTGCATAAAATCATTAATGAACTTTTAATATTCGACAGGCTGCCCAGCTCAATGACAGTTGAGGGATCACACACCTGACACGGACACGGAGAGCTCTTTATTGACGGTGGGCGTAGTAGCGGCACTCAAGGAGTTGGTGGAGGAGATGGAAGAGGTGCTCTCGGCCCGCGCCAACGGGGCGACGGGAGGGGGGCTGGCGGAGTGGACCGGCGGGCTGAACGGACGATTCTGAACACAATAAAATAAAGTTAGACAAATAATTAATTCAAACAATTAGATTAAGCTCTGATTGTTCGAACTCTCCCACCTGGAAACTGACCACAACTTGTTGCAACAGTCAAACAGTTCAATATTGGTAAATCAGCACCAAATAGTTGGCAAAATACCACAACACAAACATCTGAATAAGTAGTGAAACTATAAAATGTAACACTAACTGCATCTCCTACGGCTGGTTTGCCTGGAGGAAGTTTGGGCCGTGAAGGGGGGCGAGGGGGAGGCGGTGGTGGGGTCGGGTTGACTGAAGAAGGAGTGGCGGGTCGCACCGGCGAGGAGGAACCTGCAGAACAGAAAAGTAACAGATATGGATTACATAATAATAATAATAATTTATTAAAAGACGCTCACAGTCTCACTCACAAAGCATATTTTCAATATTGTTAGGGAAACAATGCAAATGTAGAACATTTTATTTCGCTGTAAACAGATGCACACCTTTTTAAAGGATTAAGAACAACCTCCTGTTTTAACTTCCTTGAGTATCTGTTGAAACTGACAAATAGGATTTTTCCTAAAACTGCAAACATCAAAATAATCTAAAAAACATCAGTGTCTTGTTACATTCTGTGCAGCTATTTGTGACACACTCTTTCTTTTGTGAACTACTAGACTGCTATTAGACACTGCCATGATAGTGATACTACGGATCGGTGTACCTAAAAGGCCACTTCAGTTTTGGAGTGTTTTATTTTGAATTATTATTATATTATTATAATTATTTTTTTAAATATGGTTTATGTTTTATGATGATTTTCTTTTTTTTAACTTCTTAATTGACTTATGTTTGTTTGGATTGATGGCTCACACAATTATTTCAATACAAATGTACGTAGATTTGCGATTCACTGTGTGTTTAAACATGGTGCCATAGTGGTGAAAAATCCAGCCTCAACTGCTGTCAATCCCGTCACAGCTGTTTATTTGTATGGATCACCTAGCTGGTGTCTCTTTCTTGGCTTTCAGAATTCCATTTGTGTTCAAGTGAGAGTCAATCCAAGCTCTAAAAAAGCCTTCCCTCTATAGATTATATTATAGTTAGAGTCATGAACTACTGCTCACCACTATTTGAGCCACCTGCTCCAGATGTGGGACCTGGTGACGACACCACCGCCCGATATGTGGGGGGAGGAGGTGGAGGAGGTGTACTATGGCTCCCCTGGTTGGCCTCGCTGGACAAGGGCACGGTTTCATCCTCTTTGGTTGCGGTGAAGTCTGTGTTCTTGGGCTGCTCCTCCTTAGACGGCATCAGAGGCGGAGGGGTGGAGCATGTTGATGGTCCATCGGTAGGAGGGGTGCTTGCTTTCGGAGCAGGGCCTACTAGGACGCTGGAGGAGGAGTCAATTGGAGGGGGGGAAGAAGCGGGAGGAGATGCAAGTTCTTTTGGAAGTGCGCAGGGAGGAGAAGTGGCAAGTGAGAGAGGGCTTTGGACCTCTGGGGTAAGAGGATATGAAGGGGCGGGAGGGGCAGTGGGCTCCTCTGAGGATGACGGGGAGGCTGGGAGAGTAGGCAGAGGTTCTTCCTTTGGGGGAGGTGATTCAAGGAGAGGTGGTGCATGGTCTTCTGAAGGAGGGGGTGATGTAGGTAAGGGTGGGGCAGGAGATTGAGGTGGAGGCGGGGAGGCTGGTAGGGCAGGCGCTGGTTCCTCTGGTAGTTGTGGCCGCTTGGAAGATTCGGCACTGAAGCAGACCCATGTGTCACCAGTCTCCTCGCCAGCAGGGGGAGGCTCTTCTGGTCCAAAAATGTTATCCAAGTCAGCGATTGAGGGCTTCCTGGTGGAACTGTCAGCTTCTGTTAACTCCTCTGAAACTAAGACAGTTTGAAGAGATGCTCAGTAAGTTCACACACACGCACAACGGGAAGAATGGCAGGCAGAGCCAGAAAGTTGGAGATAAACGCGCTGTTGAGATTAAATTGAGGTTTTTACCCCGAGGTGATGGTGTAATATACAAGAACTCTTACCAGCGCCATCTGCAGGCGGAGAGCCAGTCGATGGGGGGGAAGTTGGGACATTCTTGGGGGGAAGTGGAGGTGGAGCTGCAATAAAATGATAAGTGAATGAACATCCACAATCTTTTTCATCAGGTTCGCACGTACAGATTCCTGTTGAAGACATTTGTCACGGCAATACAATGGCATACAATGCTGATTTTTGCAAATAATTCTTATTTCATAGATTAGCACTGCACTCACCTTTAGCAACAAAAGCAAAAAGCAAAAAACAAGTTTGGATCAAAACATGAGGTTTTACCACACCTGCGAAACCCAACAACAAGAATTTGAGGAGAAGGGATCTTCCCACAAATCCTCAACCATGCGACAAAGCACATTCAGTCTCCAGATGCAAGGAGGAGGTGAGAGAGAATGGATCAGTGCAGAATGGCAGACAGGGACTGAACTCCCCCATAATAAACTACAACCAACATTAGAAACTATTTGCGGTGTGAAATGGCTGATGACATGAAAGTTTGTAATAAAAAGCAGATTGTTATCGCCACACAGTGTTTGATCAGGTCAGGTGGTTCGATGATGATGATGATGATGATGATGAGGTTCATGCGGGGAGCTGATGCATCTGTGCAGTCATTCCGAGGGCAAGAAGAGGCGCGGAAAAAAATGCCCCGAAATGATGAAAACTTACTTCCTGTGGGGAAGGATCTTGTCAAAGAGGATTCAGGCTCTGACAGAGGAGCCCCCCAAGGATCAGACTCAGAGAGACCCACTGTGTTCAGGAGGGGACAGAACAGGTCAGGTCAGGTGAATTAAAGCCTATTTATCCGGTACAAGTTTATTCGGTAAACACCTTCAGTGCAGGCGAGTTGTAAATGCTCCCTTCAAAAGCACATCCTTCAAAATGACCCAATAGTGGACTCAACATCTCTCTAAAACCCATTTCAAGAACAACCGAACTTCATAAGATTTATTAACAACCTAATAAACTGGTCAATGATAAAACATCTCTAGTACAAATGACTGGACAGAAACATTGAAATCCCCATGAGGTACCGTCTGTCTCCATTAAAAACTGATCATACTTTCCGTGAAGATAGGATTTATTGCAGGGCTATTGTCTGAGACCGTATTAGTTTTAGCAAGCTGTAACAACTTAAAACTGTGCATAAAATTACATACACCATGACTAGAGATTTCCTCTATTTTACACTGCCCTGCTGTTGATGATCGGAAGATAAAACCAGAATAAGTAGGAAAGCTCAACGTCCCACATAGAGCTGTCTTTATTCCTCTGAATGGATGTACAAAGGGAATTTGTGTGAGTTATGCCTGACATGGTAGTTGCGTAACAGAAGGGAGCTCTCCAGCAGCCTGCACCACTAAATCCTTCTGGATTGGCTCACAGCTGGTGAGAGCACAGTCTGCATATCAACAAGCTGCAGAGTGCACATGATCAATTTTAACTTTGACCTTAGCAAATACAGTTGGAGTGAATCCACAACTGGACAGCAAGCCAGAGGGAACACAACTGATTTGAGAGAAATAGGTGAGAGGGAGGGACGAGAAAAGAGATAGAGGGCAGCTTCTTTGACAGCCAAGCAGGGCTTTGCTGGCAGCCTTAAAAGAACAGTAAGTGTTTATTTAGAAAGCCCTTTCATTCTGTTGCTACAGAGAAAAAACAACTGTTAACACAAACATATTGTCATAGAACCACTAAGTCCTACACAGAGACGCGTGGAGAGGGACAAAAGCACAGAGAGGAGGGTTACCTTCAGTCTTCGGTTCTCCAAAGGCTGTTTCCAGTGGAGGCCCAAATAAGTCTGTGCGGTCTTCAGAGGCTGCCGTTTTTTGGGTGCTGCAACAGCCGAAAAGGTAAATATAGTTGAAGGGGTTGTGTGACAAAACAGCTACAGGGAACATAATATAGGAGGTATAGATTATATCATCCTGTCATCACGTGTATAGATTATGTGCGGAGATGATGGAATCTTTGCCTACTTTTGCTATGTTTATTGAGGGTGAGAGAGGGTGATTGCATTGTGAAGCTGTGGAGAACGATATCTACCTGACTAGGATGCATCTGTACCATGTCTCATGGTAATGGACAAACAGAAAGACAGTTTGAACCTAACTAATAACTGCATAAAGTGTCCGTAGATCGACGAGACTCAAATGCCAGGCCCATCCGACCACGACAGAATATGTCACGGCTCGATGGATCTAATGTGCAGTATATGCAGCACAATGAGATGAGCCAGGGATTCAGCAGTGACACGTGCCGTATGATACACATAACACCGTAACATTAAGCCTGTTCCTTGCCAGGGAACAGTGAGGTGCATACCCGGGGGGTTGTAGTGCTGGAGCTGATGTGGGGGCCACTATGGGTAAAGTAGGCACAACACGTCTCGGCCTGACAATCTCCTCACCTGGAAGCATAATTCCATCATTTTAGCTTGTGTGACCCTTGCATTAAATTCAATTCACAATTATTAAAAACAGAACCTGGCCCAAGAATAATACTCACTGGAAGGGTTCCTTTTCAAACCCTGAAAACAGGACAACATGACATAAAAAAATGTAAAAACAGAGTCACTAACAACTAAAATATTACATCAATTATAGCAACATTTGTCTATGTAACAAGTCCTGCAGAGGCCCTTTATATAAAAACAGGTGCAAACATATTAAACCGTAGCGTATAGTATGGCAGTCCAAGATAATCCACCATTTATTTTATGGTTCAAACAGAACACTGATGTAGGCTGCACGGTAGTGAAGGTCAGGGGGACAAACTTCAGCCTCAGTTTGAGGTAATCTGAGGGGACTCGTGGAACAGCCTGCCCAGCTACGAGCTACATCAGAGAAGGCGTTACGAAAACACACAAACACTGCAGTACAGAATAGGGTTCTGTTACAGGAAGAAGTTTGCCTTTAGACAGAAGAGACGTAAGAGCATATGAGGAGAGAGAGGGAACGGGTCACAGGCTGCACACCGTATGGATATACATCGTTAAGGATACAGTTAATGTTAAGGGGACTCCAATAAGTTAATAAAAGGTCCATATCAGTAATATCGCTAGTGTCACTTAAGATAATTCCCACTGCTGCCTGCATTGACATTACAGTGCAGTGAGCAGTGGTTTGAAGTATCAAAGCTGAAAAAAGAAGAAGAAAAAGTATTGCCATGGTTTCAAAACATGCTTTTGAAGTCTTAAGAAGCCAGCTCTGGTATACGTTCTGATGTTGAAGAGACACCAGCCCCATAGTGTTGCCTCTGACACCCATTTCTGTGCAAGCATATGTATGAATTCACCATAGGATGGACACATGAGGCCAAGAAAGGAGAGGAGAGAGAGGGTAAGAGAGGGGAGGATACGCTATCAGTTGAGAGGAGAACACATGACGATGGGGAGGTGCCGGAGTAAGACATCCACGGGCCCAGCTGTCAACGGTCCACATTTTATCCCACTACACTACAGAGACCAAGCATGAAGCTATTCAATGTGAAAAACAAGTAATATAATATAACGTTTTAATATGAATGTTTAAACAAATCAGTAAACAGCGGTGACCCGTCGCCTCGGCCACTGAACCCACAGCATTCGCTGTTTTACTCAACCGACTCCGAAGACAAGGTGAGGAACAAAAGGGTACGAGAAGCATGTGACATATTTTTGGGCCTGAACGCAGGAAGCCGGAAAGAAAAGGACACTTACCGGGCTACGTCTCTGTGACCAGCAAAAAGGAAGAGAGAAGAGACACCTGGTCAGAGAGTGACAAATCAGTAAAGCAGACATCCAATACATGAGAAGAAGAACAACTTGGTCAGATTCGGGGTTCATATTCACTTTGTCTGAAATTCCTTGTGCTGCCTTGTGTGGTGAGGCCTTCAGATAAATAAGAATGTTCGCATGCATCTCAAATTCTACAAAATCTTTGAACTTCTCTCTCCCTTCCTTCGTTGTTTATCTTTATTTCTATACCCTTCTCTTTATTATATCCTTTTTGTTAAAAAAAAGGATATAATAAGCCTCTTTATTGACACCTCTGTCTCGTATGAAGCCTCCATCTACCCTCCACACGCGTCTCCCCCGTCCCCCCCTCTATCGGTCTTTCGCTTGTTCTAGTTGTGCAGTGAGCCATGACTGATTAACGCAATGCAGCAAGGGGGTGGGACATGCTGGTGGAAAGGATTCTTTCTATTGGGTAAGTTGGTGCGGGACACAGCGCAACACTGTTTGTCATACGCTTAACCAATCATCTTCTCCCTGCTGTATGTGAACAGGAAGTTCTGCCACACACTCCAACCTTTCAGCCTCCGTCAGGGACGTACCTCTGGTCTTCACCATACAAATAACTGCGTATACTGTAGATAATGCTGTAAAATAGACCACTCAAAACAATTGTGTGCAATATCTGAAATTAGATATTGAGACTGAACAAGATATGTTTTTGTTCATTTTTTAAATTCAATAATGCACCTTTTGGCTGTTGAGTGAGGGGACTTTGTGTGGAACTGACTACATCGCAGCTGGCCACACTAACGGCACATATGATATAATAAAAATAATTATTTACATTTTAAAAGTTTAAAAGGATTTTAAAATCCTAGTGTAAATGCCAGCACTACTAAGAAAAAAAGGAAGAATAATATGTGACTCAATACCTCTTATTTGTGAAGTTACTAACATCTCAACATTTCAGACCCTTTTTTTTGCTTCCTCTAGCGTATGAAGTCGTTCATTTGGGCTTAGAAGTGAAAGCTCAAGACTCCACAACCAATTAAAAGCAGATTTAAGACGTCTTTGTAGGCGGAAACAACTTACAAGAAAGCACAGTTGTACTTGAAGTGAGTACCAAGGCAGAAAAATCCACCAAACAGTATTCTGCATGAACATATCACCACAAGGAAACAGACTCCCACCAACACACAGGACATTGCCATATACATGCCGGGCTGATAATAAGTATTGGACACTAGCCATTTGTAGTAGGCCTATTCTCAGCAACACAGAGACTATTTTATTTGCGGACAGTCTTTGAACACAACAGCATGCAAAGCAAAGGCTTACCGGACTCCTCTACAGAGGTTAGCATCATTAGAGGCAGCAAAAGAATGAGAGGAATAAAAAGAAGGGGTGGAATAGTTAGAAAACAGAAAAGCACATCATCTGTCAGTCACTAATAGGATCCCTCCCTATCTCCACATCACCCACTACTCCTCCTAACACCACGTGAAGACAAAGGTTTTATGTGGAATAAGCTCTTAACCAGCGTTATGTGTCCCTATCACAAGATGATGCATATATGCATAATGCATTCAGAAAAACAAAAGAAATGTTATTAATGTATTTGATTGGGATAACGCTTCACTCCATCAGTTCAGGACGAAGTAGAAAGACACAGTGCTTTTGGAGGCCTGTAAACATTTGGCCCCTCTCCCCTTTTCATCAGACCATTGTACTGCCGGCTCATTGCCACGGTTACCCAATGTTGACTGGGCGGAGCTGTGTGACTTGTTGTGTAATTTATTTGCGAGGGAAAACCTCTACCAGGGCAAACGTGAGGCTAATTTGAACTGGTGGAGGAGAAGGAGGCAGTTGTTCAATCACATCACAAATTTGTATTTATCTTCAATCTGTGCATCATATTTCTGTCCAATTGATTGATCCTTCATTCAATAAAATGCCAGTAACAACGACAATTTTTGTTTGTTGAACGATAAAAGAAAATTTGACAAGCTGGAACTTTTTATTGGCAGCGCCCCCCCCCCACACCTCCCCTTATACATATTTTTAACAATGACTCCATTGGAAAAGTTATTGGATTCATTTTCCTTTGATTGCAAATTATTTCAGTGTCTTATTAGTGAGCAAAAACCTGAAAACAAGCCTCCCATCTACTCCACAACCCATTATCTATTTAGCCATTATCAACACCTGATCACTTTGACAGAGGCAGTGGGCAAAAACACAGAGCCTGGATTGGATTACTAAATCCAGAAGCTCAAATAACAAACATTCGGCCCACTTTCCTACCTGAATTATTCAAATGGGCACCCAAGCTAACTGTGCTCGCTGAAGATGAAAAGAATTACAGGCAGAGTGTCAGAGTCAGGCCAGGTGAAGGGAATGTGTGCTTGAATTTGGACTCATTAACTAAGCTGCTTCACCTTAAACAGGAGCTACACACACACACACAGCAGCTCCCTGTTCTGCGGTTTCTGCCGTGGCGGGACGGCTGTCTGTTGTTAATGAAACAACTAAGTGGAAAAACACTGGGGTCACTGACACTATCCCAAGGTTCATGAATTAACAAATTCAAACTTTCACATGAATGAGCCGACCTCGCTCATCAGTGCAGGGTTCAAAACCAGAGCTACGGTTACTGCCCATTTAAACAAACTAGTTCTATGGCCGCATAAAAGTTTCATTTTCAAAATGAGTGTGACCATCCTTGCCTAAAACAAACCAGTGAGATGAAGGAGAAATATTGTGGCGAGAAAGCAGCATCTTGGCGAGGGAAAAACGATAGACTCTCGGAAGAGATTCACATATGCACATTAGAGCCACCTCAGCACATCCGGCTGTAAAGGAAAGCCAGCAATGAGAGGACAGTGGCGTCAGAGGTACTCACCATCGGAGACGGGGACAGGGCAATGTTGCCTATGGAGGCTTTGAGCTCGTCCACCGAGGGCACTGAGGCCACGCGATCCGACGGCAGCGGCTTGATCTTGATTTTGAACTTCTTCTTGTGGTCCTCCTCTCCTTCCGACTCGTCAGAGGAAAAGAAGTGGGGTTTCTTGATGGTAGGCGGTAGTGCGGCGTCAAGGAAAGAGTTTACGACCTTAAATGAAGGTGGTCCAGGATTTGTGAAAACCAGTCTCACGATGAAGGTGCATCCAAGTCAAAATCAAATCCCATTTAGGAGGAGATTGCAAAGTGATAAAGACAAGCAGCATCATAACATTTCTAAATCTGATATTTAGTTTAACCTGGGGTGGCTTTTAAGGTGTTAATGTAATGGATATTTGATGATATATATATTTTTGCTCATATTGGGCAGACGCAGCTCAATTTAAGAGTGACATGACATACAAACTGATCTAGTTTCAATCCATAACTGGATTTGGAAGGAATCCATTTTTGGAGAGCCACGCTAACAGAGAGAAATAAGACATGAATCCTTTGAAAAAAGAAATCATGCAGTTCTGAGGATATCTCCCTCTTCGGACTCCTCATCAGGTCGAACGCTGTAGCCTTCATCATCCACCTCAGGAGAGTTCTGTAACACAAATAGACTGTATGAAGCTCTCTGAATGTTTGTTTGGTGTAATCAGTAACACGCACCAGTACAATATAAACGGTTTACAAAAGTAATGACAAAGGGATGTTGATCAATTGTACCGTAACATCCGATCTAATGGTAGGTTTGCCGTTTAATTATTTAATTTTGTCAAGCTGTATTAAATAGTTTGACAAAATGCACATTGACAAAGTCAGTATTTCGAATGCAAGCAAGTTTAATGTTGCCAGGGATAAAAGTTCTGCTCACAACAGCACACAGATGTTTATAAATAAAATATCAATAAATAAAATGGATCAACGCTATATAAAAGCAGGCCACTAGTAGTGAATACATTATCAAAATCAGCACAAAATAATAATCTTATCACTTACATATCTTTCCCAGTCGATATCTTCATAGAAGCCGTTTGGGGCCCCGTTGGTCTTCTTCTGAGACTGGGGAGAGAGACACTTTGATTAAAATCCCACCAGACAGTGACGGTAAAGTTTATTCGGTTTCTGATTTCTATGGTAGCTACTGTCACACATCCCTGTTTGCCTTAGAGGCCTCTATTTGTTCTCGGGGAGGCTGCTAATGAAACTATAGCTGGAGCGGCAACGCTGGGGGCTGACTGACAAGTTGAAGAAGGTACTGCGATGTCCGTTACCAGTCTAAACTCTAAACTCTTTAAACTATTCTAGAGATTAATCTACTCCAAAGGGACTAGTGGTTACAGGCCAGTACCGATTCAACCTCTTGGGGTTCCTGGCATGTAAAAAGGACACAGAAAATAAAAAATGAACTCACAATCAGAAGTCTGGACTTCATCCAGTTACACACAAGATTGAAAAGTAATTTATATAAGTGAAAGAACTGGCTGGTATTAAATATTGTGTAATACTTACACCACTGTCTCTGTCTGGGGACCCCCTGTGAGGATTTAAATAAGCAGAGAGACGAAAGGACAGAATGACATTCATGTGACATGTGAACTCTTCATTTCAAATCAAGTGCTTTGCTAATCATTCGAGACAAAATATTAATAACGGATATTCAAAGAAATCCTTTTCACGGCACGCTACCATGCCGGCTCATTTATTCACTCATGTGTCGAAGCACAAAAACCCTTTTCAGGGAAAGTGACTCATGCAGTTACGAAATGGGTAAACAACTACCACGATACCAGAGAGATTCGGAAAAGCACAAGTACTTGATGAGTGATCTAACTGAACATTTACATCTATAGAGGATCCTGCTGTATTTGCATGACGTTGAACATTTGCATTGGCTTTGTGCTAACAAGCAATGTCACAAACACTGGATATTCTCTGCTCATTGCATGTAAGTAATCAACTGGGTTAACAAGGAAAAGTCACACTTCTCTTAATTATTTCATTCAGACCGCTTTCTTTCCTCCAGAAGATACATTTTAATTTTGGAATTCTCAGGACACCAGGAAGGCACATCAGGACTTACGTGGAGTCATTGTCCTTCTCTTTCTTCCGTATCCCAAAGGCCTTCCTGGTACGTTTTTTCAATCCTGAGGAAAAGAAGAGAACAATGGCAAATTACAAATGCACACCAAAGGCATAACTAAAGGGCAACGTCTGTGGGTGAGATTTAAGACAACGGTTTCATGTATTATTGAGTGACCGTCTTTCCAATCTGATGTGTTCATGGTCATCACAGATGGACAGACAGCCAATCCTCAAGGCGTCTTTATGAATGAAAAATAAAAATAAAAATCACTGTAAAAATCAATGAGCCTAAAGTTTTACAAGAATATCTTAAGAGCTCCGATGAGCAGAGTTACCCGCTACCGAACCTCGGATGAGAATATACAAATTCGTACTGCTACACATAGCGTGGGAGAGCCCTGATCTTCTGATTCAGCTCATGAATTCAACAACGATCACTAAGGTAGCGGATCAAAAGCCGCTCTAATGGAGCTGCACAATGACCAACCATTCAAATGATCACTGTGTTGTTAAAGCAACAAGTGGGAGAGTGTGTATCGTATTTTTAAGAAAGTTTTCAGTACATTTAAGATGGAAAAATCTGAAAATTTAGAAACTACAAATGTATCCTGTAAGGAAAGTGGGCCGTCTGCACACATCCAACACTGGTATGCAAAGAAGGAGAAGTTGTATTTCTTAATACGGAAAACACAAACCCCTCCTCCCTTCTCAAACAAACAAAATTATTTTACCCAAAAGATGCAGATTTGGTTTGTGTGTTCTCAAATATCAAACAGTCAGTTCATCAATAACTGCAGATCAAGTTTTGCAGCTCAGGCTGAACTCTAGACAGCATTGACAGTGGTGAATTTAATTTTTGGATTTAGTAGGATCCATTTGTTGCACACTTACCCCAAACGAACACAACCCAAATGCTCCCAGCTTATTTCTTACCCCAAATGAAAGCCCAGTTGTACCCCTCCATTTCTTTTCTGACAATTCCTCGACTCTCATTCTTCCTCGCCTCGTTGTGAACCCATCACATCATCTCTTCCTCAATGCACATGCAGGTCCACGCTGAGCCTCGGAGCAGGAACCTGATGCTATATCTTGCTAGCGCGCACGCACACAGTGTCTAGATCCTATTTCTAATTTGTCTGGTACTCAAATTCAACACCACAGACTTCACTCATGAATTAAACACAAATATCATTCTCATTCAACGCATTTTCTTTACATCGTTAATACTTGCGTCTGCATGGCAGCAGCAGCCAAGTGTTGAATCGATCCGGAGGGGCCTGCTGGCCGTCTCACACAGAACTATCCTTTCATTACCAACGCTAACTTATTCCACCTTGCATCCGTTAAACGGCTATTGTCATACATTCATACATACAAATGGGCACACAGAATGACAGCGGACTGTTTCGACCCCACACGTAGGCTCAAATGCCATTTTAAAAGCATATGCAGAGAAACAGACCGTGATGAATATTTATCGGACCCTAGATGACCAGCACTTGTTTCTATTAAAAGGTGCCTAGGAAAAAGAGACAAAACTGTTTACGGGTTAAAAAAAAAAAAAAAGAGTGATAAACACTTTTCTTAAGAGGAGGCTTTTTTTCTGTGAGAATATTCCGTAGGAAAAATTTCACATTTATTCATGATCACAAATATCCATTTCGGTTTGCAGATTGTCCACAGTCATGGTCAAATTCTGGATTACTAAGCAGTCTCTTAGTGATTTTTAGTTTTTACTCCACGCTACATTGAAGCACACAATCTATTTCAAATTTGCAAGAAGCAAAATGTGGTCTTCAGAAATTTTGTTTGATGACTTTTACCGTCTTTTAACTTAATTATTCCTTTCTTTTTAGAAAATTCAAATAATAAAGATTACCCCTGATGGCACTATTGTCCAAACCTTTGACTGGTACCGTACGCGTATCATTACACATGAACAGACAAGCGCAATAACCAGATAACGTAATTAATTACTATCCTATATTACTATAATTTGAAGTAGAGCAGGACGTAAATCTGAGTGGACGTTGATGTGAAAAGTGACATGAATGAGTCTGGCTGGGGTTAATTAACGAAGGAGGAAAGAACAGCGAGTGGCACACTGTTTAATGACTGAATGCCTTCCGGTCAGAGGGATGCTCGCGCAAGTGTTAACATAATTAGTGGTCTCTCAAGACACAGTAATGTGATTCTGCGACAGACATAAAGCAAAACAAGAGGACACTGCTGAACCTAAAAAATAAAATTAAAAAAACATTATAATGACCGTAGCAGGTTATTTTTCTAGTCAAAATAATGTTTGTGTGCTCTCTGGAAAGAGTAGAGGATAATGTTGGAGCCAACTTTAAAAAGGGTCCTACGAACTAAAAACAGACAGGAGCAACTTCCCCCAAAGCAGCAGCCTACCGACCCATCTTTCCCCCATTTTATATATATATATATATATATATATATCTATATCTTTGTATAGATATATATATATCTATATATCTCCTCTATTATACTGCACTCCTCTGATTACAATGCTATTAAGAAAATACTTTATTACAATATCTAGGCCTCTCTAGGCCATCTGTCACCCACGAATCAAGACCTTTAGTCCTACGATGTAGCATGTCTATCTTTCTTTGGTGGTTAATTCAATACTGTTCAACAATGCAGCAGTTGGTTATCTCAGTGAATCTCAAATAAAAATTCGATTTTGGAGGCAAACTATTCTCAAATCTTGTCAATCAAGTTATACTGTCTGCAGAATCTCTGCAACGAATCAACGTTATTTTATTTTCCAATTGGAAGAGCAAAATTATTTAAATCCGTTGAGTCCTACACTAAGAAGTGTGCTTGCATCTGTGCACCTATCGTGCGTTCTGACTTCCTTTGGTCTCGCCTCTGTTTGCTTCTGTCGGGGTAGGTGGTACAATAGCCTCAAAGTCACAGAACTGGAAGGGACACCATCATATGAACATTAAAAAAAATTGCACACCCAATCTATAATTCACTGCAAAATTGGATAAATACACCTTGGTAGTTGTCAGGTGGGCGACCGGCATGAGAGAATACAAGGTGTCGAGGGTTCTTATAAGTATTGAGTCAGGCTGTTGACCGAACTCAAGGAGAAACATCTGGACCCACCGACGCAGACAGAGACAAGCAATTATTAGAGCAGGATGAAGGCTGGCGGCCACACAAACAAGCACATAAATGAAGGGAAAAACGCGATCACACAAACAAGCACATAGAATAAGTGAAAAACGCGACCTGGAGGCAAAGAGTTAGATAGGCATGTTGCAAACACAAGGTTTGAAAGACTTCATTTGTAAGGATTCACCCATACTGCTGGCGAGGCAGGAGGAGGAGGCAGGTGAGCAGAGCGAAGCTGCTCAGGACAGAAATGCACCAACAATTACCTCACAATGCTGCAATGACGTCGAGACAGAAAAATGCTGATTTCACGAGGAGACACGTGACGTGCAGCTACATGAATGCAGCCTCCATCTTATGCTTATTACGGACTCTGCTGGTGCTGAAAACCTCCACGTCTCAACACTGAAGGTCATTGTTAAAAGAAGCAGAGAAGAGGAGACGGCCTGACGCTGTCATTTACTCAGAAAGCACTGACAAAGAAACGTGTATATGCTCCTAAACAGCAGCTACTGTGACACACACACACACACACTCAGCCTTGTCTTAGGATTTCTTTCATGTAAATAGATAGTCTACTAATTTCTTCATCACAAGGACAGCTCCATGGAATAGAACACAGGGATCAGAACAGCCTCCCTTTGTCGGTCACAACATACCTCGGCTGGCACAGGAAGGAAGAAAGTCATTTAGCAGACCTCTCCTCCCTACGTCCTTTATGCTAGTCACCACTTCTCCAACCTCCCCATCCCTAACCTACATATCAAGGAAGAAGAGGCTGTCTGTCATTACCCGGGCAGCCCTCACCTTCAGCCCGGCTATGGGTTTCAGTGAAAGAGCCTGCCTCAGTGTGGCAGAATAGACAAAGAGACGGTGTCAGTTTGCGTTTGTACTTGCGGATGCTAAAATTAGGCCTGGACTGTACAGTCCAGGTGGCTGCACCGTGAGCTCTTAACTGTAACCACGTACGCACGCACGATTTAGATGGTACATGTCTGTTGTACTGCACAGATGCACCCTTTGGGAAGGGAACAAAAAAAAAGAAGCGATGTTTCATTAAGTGACGTCACCGTCCTCTAAGGAAAGTGGGTCAGGGCCAGAAACCATATAGCAGCGTGCCGGCAATGCAGCCATGAACAAAAGATGTTTGAGAATGCCAAAATAATGGTGCTGCATCAATCTGTTCAATTCTGTACCGAATATTTCAGCTTTTTTGTATTGACAAATAACTAGTATTGAATGAACTGTAGACTAATTATATATATATTTTGATTAATTAATTATACAGCCTGTGAAATGGAAATAGTAAAAGCAGCCTCCAGTTTCACAGAACCCAATCCGACAATTTAAAAGCATTTTTTCTGGCAAATAGATACGTCAGTTGGAAAAAGGTTATTGTTTATTCATTGATTAAATCATTTTGAAACCATACCACACAATGCATACACAACTTTTTAAGTGAAATGAGAATATTTGCTCTTTTTTCCACGTTATCTATAGCAGTGAACAGAATAATTTGGGTATTTGAATACATCAGCTTGGCAGAGTTAAACGTGAAAATAATTGGCAGATGTATCAATTATTAAAGTAGCTTATTGTTGCCAGCCCAGCTGTAATTAGTGCATTTTTTATTGATAACTCTTTAACGATCAATTGAATTCCAGAATTGTCCGATAGTCACACAATTATTTTATTACTGCTTCTAAATGATACAACATATTATAGCATCTGCCAATTATAAGCTGCACTCTCTTCTTCCACCACCCCATCATTGCATTTCATCTCACCTTCCCTCACTCCTGTCGCTAAACAGTCAGCTCCAAATAGCACCCAAGGCCTCGGTGGCAAATGGCCATGCTGCCGAGCCAACAAAGTGGCTTTTAACATGGATTTTTGGCACAAAAACAAAAGGAGATGT